ACATCACTCAAGGGAATCGTCAGTGTGCTTTAAATCAAAAGCTATTAGAAAAGACGGATGCACTTTAGGGTAAAAAAACTGGATTTTCCCAAGACTACTGAAACTCGTTTTTGAGAATAATGTTAAACATAATCTCCTCCCTCCCCAGGCGCCTTCCAACCGATGGTCCTTTAACAGTGATGCGTGCATATCTGCTATACACCAAGCGAGGGCGATCAGAACGCACGTGGTCATTCTGAAGAAACACGGTAGTAGTTATGTTCAACCGCGGCGGCATATATCAGACCAAGACTTAAAAATGCACACCGAACTTACAGTTACTTGTCAGTAGTGGTTTGAAATGATTGACAGTGATTTGAACTGACCAACATTCAGACTTTACCTTCACACACAATCCTCAGTTCTTCCCACCAACCACACATTCGGAAGCTTTGCGCTTGAGTTTTGCTCTCAGTAGATCTCATCAATAGTGCATACCTACGGTCTCACGGTCGGGGATTTGAACTCCGTATGCATAGCATTTAAGGCACGTGTATTATCACCGTACCAAACAGCTCATATCAGAGCTGAACCGAATGGTCAATCCATGTTTTCTTCAGGTTTCCTCCTTAGCTATAGCCAATCAGTTCAGTTTTGGTTCGACAGCAACAAAGGGAGACAAATTTGAATATATGTTTAGTCCACCAGAAAGTCTCCCACCAAATCAGGTCTTCCATGCAGGCTACCGGCTGACTTGCCGCAAACCTACTAGACTGGATGATGAATGATTTATATGTGTTCAATGGGTCAGCAGCAGCAAATATGCCATGGGTGTATATTTATACCAGGAAATCTTGAGGAGACTGCACACCAAAGCCTGGATTTATAGGTAGGAAGTCACTTTTGATCACGTAATAACCTTAAGAAGAGACGTTACATTTACCAAAAGTAATATAGTTTCTTACTGACACCGATGTTCGAATGAATGCCCCGTAACAACATATATCTGTTCCCACTTTTGCATTTTTCAATTGAACGTGTATTGTGAACAACTCAAGATAAGATGTGTGCTGGCAGAACTGATCTTTTTTTCACTGTTCTAGTAGTCCATAATCACTGGAACTTATGGCACTCAACAGGGTCAACGGATTTCGCTATTTTCACTCACTACGGAAAATAAGACCGAAAAGGAATGTTTCAAAGGACTACAAAATCATTGTGCTTTGTTGAATCGCTACGCAAATATGAAATGGATACGGGATCAGGGCTACCCAGATCTCTAAACAAGCTCACAGGAGCCTTAACATTGTCTTTCTTTGAGCTCTCGCTTCCTAGGCATGGTTTATCATCGTCTGCATTCTCAATTGATCGATTAATTTGCTCACCATTCATTTTGAACGGCTGAGATACGTGGTACTTTTGTGGCAGAATTCCATTATCCGAAAACATGAGACATGTTATAGGGGTCAAATGAATACGTTTCATATCCACTTGATGCGCACAAGAATGAAGGTTATTCGGTGTCAAATTGGATGTAGATTCCTTTCGTTTTGTTATCATCAACATGATTAGTTTTAGTTACTGATGCACAGATCCTGCATACGGAGAGTGAATTGGAAGCAATCGAAAACTTGATCCATTTCCAAACTTTTGCATTTGAGATGATTTGCAACAACTCCACCCTGACACTTCCCTCACGAATCGGAATCCCGGTCGCGATGGTTTCTACGTACCACAGACAAACACTGGTCATTGTGTNAACACTGGTCATTGTGTTGTTGTTCCGCACAAAATGAATTCTTAATGAAACACGAGTTTGTAGGAAGAACAAGTGATACGACTTTGGCGAAAGGCTGAGGCACTTGTGTGTGTTGAGACTATGTCACACTTTGAAGTGATCACGCAATCAACGAACTCTCCCAGTGATATTTCAGTTTTCTCATCATCATTATGCTTCCGCTGTCCATAGGGGGAAGATCGACTAATAATGCCCCACATCAGTTGTTGATTGATTTTCTAATTTGCACAGATTTCACACTCTCGTTGTTTATTTCATTCCTGCACACCAAAATAAAGGAGTCATCGAGGTTCAAATGTTTAGTGAAGAAAAATATCTTGATTTGAGATGGATTAATGTACACACCCAACAAACTCGCACGGGACAGCAACGGAAATCTTTCGGTTAGAACTAACTACAACACAGTAGAGCCATGTAGAAGTGATCTCAGGGATGTAATTCAACGAGCGGAGAAAAATTGAACATCATACTCCGATTTCGAGGATCGAAATTTCTCCGTATCGACACACTGGTGTGCATTATTCTTGGCTCAACTGTCGTTCTCGCATACAATGTTGACTCCACAATCCCGCCGAACTATCCGCATTTCCAGAGATATTGCTTCGGAGATAGCTTCGGCACTGATCATCAATCAGTTTGAGCTACTAAGTTGTTGTGGTGCACCAACCAGCCGGGCTAAGACTGATTGGTTCGGGACCACGAACCATAGAACACCGACTAGTTAGAAGCCATGCGGTTCAGACAGAAGCGTTGCTACGGAGAGAACAGAAAAAAAGATATTTGCTTAAAATTTGTTCAGGCAATGACATTTCTCTTTACATTTCATTACACTATATGCTGAACTGGAACTTCAGTGGCCTTTCACCCGTGTCTCACTAATGATGGACTTTGGTGGACGATTATTAGAGTGATTCGTGACTCCTAATTCATGTCTACTCCGAGTGATACAGTGATCGGTGCTAATTTCATTATCCTTATCGAAATCCTGACTAGTTCTCTTAAACAGAGCTCAGTTTTTCATGACAAACCACCCTGAACTATTACATTTCTTCGCGGATAAATAGAACACATGCCATGATTATAAGTTCCGACTGGTGTACAGTTTTCTCCCTTTTTATATCCTGATATCTGTCGGGTAAAATCACTATATCCCTCCACAAGATATGTGGAACAAATACATGTTAGGCCATGCAACTCGTATGATACCAGTACGTAGTATGTATGCTAAACTCTCCCGTCTTCGTGGATTAGTCAAATTGTGCTGTGTTTATTGATACTGCCTGACGGGCGTTTTACATGTTACAGCAAATGAAGTTTATCAGATAATGAAAATGATGATAAGCGTACGGCTGTGATCCAAGCGAAAGTTAGGATAGTCCACAATATGTTCTACTAAAAAAAGCATGTAAACATCAAGTTACGGCAATCATTAATCCGGTTCTGCTGTGTGAATTTTCCTTGATTTTCTTGTCCTAGCTAGTCTGAGCATTGTGTATCATATCTTCTCTCTCTTCCTGTCTCACTGGAACTCGTCAGCTACACTGTTATGATACAACGATCAGAGAAGCTGTTTGGTAGTACAAGTTTCAGAATAAAGAAAAATTATGGTTTCTTTGTAAAAACGAAGTTCACTTGTGCATCACGTCTGTTAGGAAAATGTATCAAATCTTGATCACCAGACGTGGTGAAGGAAGTGTCAATATTTCTGCTGAGATCATCGACAAATATACTCATGGAGTCAGGTGTTCATGCTGGTACGGAGGTAGACAAAAATCAGAGTGTGCTCAGTTTAAATGCATTCATTGCCTAATAAATGAAAACTAAATGACATTCTCATAAAACATGTTCACACAGTCAATGATGGGGATAGATTTTTGCCGTCAAATTAAATCTTAGATCGAATCGTCCAGTTTACTACGTTTATTGTTACCTCCTGATCGATTGTTGGTATGAATAAAACCGCACAACTTTATTCTTATATACGAAATTTTCTTCCTCGCACCAAGATTCCGGTAACATTGGGATTAACACCAATATGTCGTTCGCTTTGTGGCTGAACCCGTGCCGGTTTCTTCTAAAGGGAAAGCGAACACTGCTAGATAAAAGCAGAAAAGATTGTTTTATCTGTAGAAATTCACTAGCTGAGACTCACCTGTCAAACTGCGTGGTGTCTTTTTGCTCTGTCAGCACGTTCGTTTGCTATCCAATTGAATTCGTGTCGCACTTTACTAATGTTATAATTCCCGAAGACGATTGCTGGTCTGAGGAGAATTGTTTAATGCAAACCCCAGTTAGGATGTGGATAAATTGGCGAACATATAAAAAGGAGTCTCATTCGGAACATGGCATCGCAATTCACGGTAGCACACCGGATAATTAGTGAAACAGACTGTAGTTATCATTTGGAATATGGCAACTTGCTCTAAAAGGCATTGTTCATTTTTGACCGTTGAAAGAACTCGGCAACCGCATCCTTTATCGTGCTACTCACAAATGTGAGTAGTAACTCACAGCACTAGTACACTTCGAAAAATGTGCATGTCGCGCGATAGTACATGAAGATATCACAAACGCACTTGTGAAAGATTATGCAGGCGACCTTGAAATCAACCAACTGCAATATGATTTTTGAGAGAAAGAACGCAACCAAATTCAAAATCTACGCTCCGTTTTCGTATTCCCATGTACAACAATTAACAATAATCATTGACAATAAACGTGATTTTGTCTGGTGTTTCATGTTATTTTAAGCAAATCATGAATTGTAATGAATATCTTGATCGGTTTATTTCGTGACAGATAGACTTAATCAGTACTTGGCCACCCAGAAGCTGCATAAATATAATGCTTAAAAATCATACTGTTTTATTTATTTTTATGTTGTTAGTAACGCAAATAATTTACATTTGTTTTGTTCAATTTAGCACAGCAGTAGTGTAGAGTTACTATCTAGAGGAATTGTTTCCTAAATCGTCGAGTTTTCCGGACCCAGTCCTTTGGTTTTACAAGCTAACCGAAGTATTGACTGGTTTCTGTTCAAAGCGGGTTGGTTGACAGTTTGATTCAACGGTGATCCATGAATCGAATGAGACATGATCCCATGTAAAATAACCTTCTATTTTGACTTCTTCTAATGTGTACTTTTGGAATATTCTCAAACAACGAAAGTCTTACTTAGATCACAACACGTGACCATGACAACACCGTCATATTCAACCGATAGATGTGCGTTTATATTCATCATCGAACATTCTATCTCACCCCACACTGCGTTCCCATTTCCACCCTGGGAAATCGCTTTTGTCGAATCTCACATAGTCACGTACTGGTCTGTGGTAATTTCGACAATGGCAGTCTTCGCGCGTTTATCAAAGGATTCCTCACGGGCGGACGAGCCAAAGGTCGTGTGCGAATGAATATGGTGATTCTCCGACCGTAAGTGAGCGTTGTCATCCACCCGTTTACATCATACCCAATATTTAATACGTCTCTAATTCATCTAAGGACTATACCTTTTCGACTTAAAGTGAATCCGTTGTAACTTCAAGTGAATCCATCCAATCGCATTCCAATGGGAACCTCAGAAGATTATTGGTGTTTCGGCCGTCAAAATTCACCGATTGGACCGGGTCTGTCTAAACCCCGTCCAGTCCGAATGAGTTACCGAACGAGGATGAAAGTTTCCGTGGGGTGAGGTGGGCCGTTCTCCATCCATCCACCCACCCTCACATACACACCCATTCGAACCGGGAACGTTATGTAATACTTTTCTTAAGTTCAATTTGTATGGAATCGTATTTGCTCAGTGAAAACGCTTATAACTGTGGCAGTTGAAATGATCAATGTGGTCAGTAGTATTGAATATGTACAGATGAGATAGGCGGTGATGACCCGGTGGTAATGTCACCAAATTATCACCCCGGGTGTGTGTGTGTGTTCGAAACCCCATCACTACCGCCCGATCTCCCTCTTGATGTATCGAATATCAGCCCTCTGGTTGGCCGCTTCCACCTTCCTGAAAACTGTTGTATCTTTGTATATTCAATAAAAAGGAAGTAAAATGAAAAACAAAAACAAAAATAAGAAACGAATGAAAGAACTTAATTTAATTTAATTTAATTAATAATAATAAATATATAAGATCAAATGCCACTCTGTATTCGCGGAGAGGGGGACAGATCCAATGGAACCGAGCACAGCTTTCTTGAGTTGCCTAGCTTCCCTGAAAGATTGAAATCATCTCTGAAAGGTAATGTTTTCTCTTGTTTATTCATTTACTTTTTCTATTTGTTGCATACTACTGAAAATATATTTATATATATTTATATTTATAAATATTAAATCAGGCAGTCAAAGGATTGTCATAAGAAAGTTGGGTGTTGCACACTTTGGGGCGATTTGTCGATGGATTTGTAGTAGTCGGAATAGGTGCGAATTACAGATCGAGAACCACAGTCACAAATGAAGCATGAAATGGTAGATTGGAATCTCCCGTCATTGAGACGCAGCAAGAAAATCACAGAGGTATCGGTTCCTTTTATTGAGAGAAATAAATGGAATTGAATTAATTGCATATAGAAATATCACTGAATAAACGGATACCAACCAATCGGTACCGTCGTTTTTTGAGTGACCGGGCTTCTGTTGGAATCGCATGGTCTTTCATTGGTCAATTCTTTTGGTCTAAGGTCCACTGCACAGAAATGGGAACGCGTAGGCACTTGACTGGCTTCCCTACGGAGGGTTGACTCCTTAAACTTAACTGCAAAGATATCTGATGATTGTTTGAGACTGTCTATATGCAGTGCAATTAATCCATCAAACAGCAGAAATTTTCATCAGGAATATGCATCTGACCTCATTTGCATCCCAGGGAATAATTTCTAGGCAGATCGATCATGGATAGCGTCAACAAAATGATTCTGGTTCCAACTTGGCGAGGGNCGGGATGCTTCACCAACCAATAACAAATTGACTAGCACTCGGATGAGACTAAATGATTGTCACACACCCCCTCCTTAAGGAATTTTATGCATCCAAATCACACGCATATTGTGGAATTCCGGGGCAAGTGAACACGATTCCCTCTTGATGCGGCCCAATAGGATAACTGTCACGCAGTATGAACAATAATTTCAACGCAGATATACTTGGGAAGAGCATTAATTTTGTAGATCGAATAACAATACGCGATGGCCTGAGAACCGAAGAATCGGAAACAAACTATGAAGCTGATAAAACAACCCGGCAGTAACGAAAATACATCCCCCATAACTGCAATATTACACATAACTACCACGGTTTAGGCTCAACAGTTATGAGTTTTGTCTAAAACTTGATGGGAAAAGGTGTACTAAGGCGGGCTGTCTTTCGTGAACAGTGTTTATCCTCCTCGGACTGGTAATGTCTCCACCTCACACAAACGGAGTTCACATTTAAGTGAAGATACGGAACCGAAGCACTCAGCTTTTTTATTATATCATGTTTTGATGCATGTCTGGGGATAAAAATATACCGTTTGTGTTACATTTGCGATTTTTACTCAAAGAAGTATCGCATGTTATACGGAAACAATGAAGTTGTACGAGATGTGTCAAATGGTTTGACGATACTGGTAGATCGTTTAAGCTCTCTCCACTCAACATATAGGGCAACATACTCATTGCCACACGTTCTCATTTTTTCACCAAACTTTGCAACATTAACATGTGTAGAAAAACAAAGCATTTCAACGATCGTTGACCTCGAATAAATGCTGCACTTTTTGATCTGATTCATCTACAGTGGTATGACTAAAGTTGATTCGTCGAAACTAAAGGACCATGGGTCGTGGCTGAAGTACTGTGGGTTTTGGTTAAAGCTTGATGGGAAAAGGTGTAGTATTGTATGCGTATACCAATCAGCAGATAGATTTCAATACAATCAACGAGAATGAGAGTGATTTGTTAGAAAAATGTGTTCCCTTTTGGTTACTATTATCGATCTATGAAAAAGTTCCATAAGAAAATCAAAAGACAAACAATGGAGCGAACAAGCTTGTTCTCGTAGCATCGTCTTCAGGCATTTCCAGTTGTGTATTTACATTTAAAATATGGAGAATAATGAGATTGGTTCATTGAGGTTAATTGTTAAAGTGTCACTCTGTTTGTCAAATTCATTTGGAGTGAATGGAAGAACAGATGGGAGGGGGGGGTAGGGAAGTGATACCAAGGACGATTCTGAAAATTTCCGATGACTTTTTTTCACGTGCCACTTGTCACACTATGTTGCGTCAGCACGACATGATTAAGGTTATGGTTCGAACAGTTATGTGGATTTAGGAGTGGCCACGGCAACTGGAGTGCGGTAACCGTTATATTCTGTTTGCACCGTGTTGGGTTCATGATTTTGCGTGCTACAGCTTCTATTGTTGCCAAATGATGCTGCTGAACATACTTCGTTTCGGGCACTTTGTAAATGAATTTAAATGCAATGTTATCTGTCTGGTGTCCAGCATCGGCGATCCAACTCGAATGATACAAATTCTATGAATAAGAGGCGATAAACGTTGAGTGCTTCTAGTCGTCAACCCATTGATCCACGATTTCTGTGTTCAAGCCTCACAACAATAGTCCCATTTCTCCAATGGCTGATTCATAAGTCTCCTTTGTGCCTAGGACTTACTGCTGAATACTGAATGTATATATTTGTATGCCAAACAGATAGACGGTAAAAGAGTATCCGCATCATCATTTAAACCACTGCGTGTATGACTTCACTTGCGTGATTGCCGTTGGTGAGTTGGATATTGTCTATTCGGCTGGCTACGATGATGCACGCAACCACATATATGAAAACGTTGTACTCTTTCGCTATCCTTCGGGTTTCACGTGTCCCCAATTGTACTGGCACGATTAGAGATTTCGAAAACAACTATCGGACTTATTTTATATTCTACATGTGACTAACTACGAGCATTTTCCAATTACGACATTTTACTCGGTCACAATCGATTCGAGCCTAGCACTTCTGTTGTCTAATCCCAGTTGAAGTATGAAAACCAGCAACCGGTGTATAGTATCTATTCAGAGATTAGTTTAAAAAACACCACACCACCCCTTTTGCATAACTCCTTTCATACAAACCCAACCTCATTCCATAGCATTCCTATCGATTTGGCTCTCAAGGCCATTCTGAGTCACTATCATGCTTGGGTTCGATATTTTGTCGGGACACCGAACAATCCACAAGACCTGGCTCGGGCCAAAATGCAAGACGCTCGTGCGGCAATCGTGTTGGCCACACCGAACGCAAAACGTCGTGACGCGGACGATGCGGCCAATATTATGCAAGCCATATCACTGAAAGCGCGCAAGAAGACATTGCGAGTGGTCGTACAGTTACATAACTTTCGAAACAAGGTAAGCTTTCCGGTCTCTAAAACCGTCTGTCAAACAATACATTTATTTACTGGCTGTTAGTTGTCAGGGTTATGCCATACCCGAGAGCATAATGCACAATATGGCGAAGTGATTCGGATGTGCAGAGGTATTCATTGCCGTGCAGTGGGATTTTTAAATTTAAAAAAACCATCATCCGGGTATTGTTATGCCCCTTTACTCTGCATCACGTGATACGATCAGAGTGTTTAGTTCGATGGTGTACCTTGGATTGACTGAAAAGTATTCGGTCATGCCAGTCAAAGGCATTCAAATGACTCGTTTGTTTGAACCACAAACTGAAACACGATGTCAGATGGTCAGATCCGCTTCGCAATGATTATGTGCTCACCGAGTTTTTTTTATCTGGTCTAGTCCAACAAAACCATGTGCTTTTTATATTCCCCACCCACCCTACCCCCTTCACCGCCAACATCTTGCATTCTCAGTGCTTGATTAACAATTTTCCGCGGTGGACCTACTTGGTGAATGATATGGTCGTTTGTATGGAAGAGCTGAAATTGGGGCTGATGGCCTACAATTGTCTCGCTCCGGGGTTCGCCACCCTGGTTCTCAATTTGCTCAACATACACGGGAACAAGATCATATCCAAGGTGAGTTGTCTAATCGGATTTTGCACATCTATGCTTATTTAGTATGCAGTATTTGTAATTTGACAGAAACGAAATCCTGTGGGAAATAAGACAAAAGGCGTTGTTGGGACGGTCAAGTTTTGATCAATTCCATATTGATGTGACTACTGTTTTAATTCCACAAGACGGTTCTCGGTCAAGGATAGTAGTTTATCGAGAATTACAGATGGGACATCACTAATTTGGCATACATAACACAGAGAATCTCATCAGAAACATACCATGGCAGTTCTTGGCCGCACGACGAGTAATGAACGTAGCAATCGATAGTTATTCTTTGGGATACCCTCGGTGATCTTTTTAATTTTTGATCGTTGAAATTAATCACTATGTTACCTACAACTCACATGTGAGTTGTAGCTCCCAACAACTACTACTATATTTTCTATCACTTGGTCATCAACACTGTGGGACAGTCACAATTTTTTTTCCATCTCACATGATACAATCTGCAGATGAATAGAATTCTTCAATATATTGGGGTCGATATTTATATCATCGTGCCCTCGGTACTTCTATGTAGCACCTGATCTGGGAGCGCGTGGGAAGGAGGGGGGTGTAGAATAGACAGCTCTGTTCCCAGTAAAATATTTTTTTCAAAATTTGAGAACACTGGACTAAGTACTGACATTCTTTGATCCTCGTGTTTGGTTTATTTGTTCCTCTGAATATAACAATGACCAAAACTTTAGATTGTTGAAGCTATTTGATGTGTTGGTAAAATCCTTTTGAGAGGGAGGGAGATGATTTATTCAAGTAGATACTTGACGGGAATAGAGAGAAATAAGAAGGATGGCTGGTGATGGTGGTGGTGTTGGTGTTGGTGTTGGTGGTGGTGGTGGTGGTGGTGGTGGTGGTGGTGGTGGTGGTGGTGGTGGTGGTG